AAACGAATCTTTCCCGGGAGACTCGAAGAGCATATCCGGACAGAAGAAGATTAGAAATGCAGTGTCTGAGCGCAATTGTTTTCGTCAAAACCGAACCAGACCTTCTTCAATGTCCCGTTTGGGTCCTCATTGTAAATGTTGTCGGTTTAGACATGTTGAAGTCCAAATTACCACCAGGTGTAGTGAATCAACGATTTTACCGATTGTTTCGTTCGACGTTTAACGTAAATCTGTGCTCGTACATAACGTACAAATAAATTAGTTCTAGCGTTACAAAGGCCCGTGGATATTAAAAATCGACCTAGGATACCGATTCCCGATGAAGATCCGTATAGTATAGCAGGAGTTTCATCTTCGATTGGAGTTTCCGAGGCGTTCCAGCAGGACCGAGAAGCTCGAGAACAGATCTACGCTCAATCAACGAGTAGTAGACAAAGAAGAGCCGAAAGGCCACCGAAACTACCGCCAAGGGAGAATATTTATAGTCATGACATACCTAAAGTAATTATATGTACACAATTTTTCATTCCACCGTTACTTTTTAATGTTACTTTAAAAGAATCATATTTAATGATATTCATTTCACTCGTTTCAGCCTGATTATGACGACATAGAAGATGACTATGCTAGAAAACCTGTCATAACGAACGAGGACAAGAGAAATAGAAACGACGACAAAAAGAAATACGGTAAACTTTCGGTTCTTTAACAAATTATCGACCCATTTAAACCATTATTATGAATATTTAGACAAAAATGATAAGAGTTCTTTTCTTTTGAGAAACTAATAATCATACATATGTTCCTTTTTCAACAGACGATCCGTATTACTGCGGATTAAGAGCTCGTGTTCCTAACTTTGTAAAGATGGCGAAAAATAGTAAAGTCTCGACAAGAATGTACGCCAGGCCTCCTAATCAAGCAACGTATGCTGCTACCGGTTACGCTAGTAGCCAATCCTCTCAAATTTATGGCCATTTACCTGGCAATCGACCGCCAATTATGTATCACGCACGAAGCTTCGAAAGTGGACTTGGTATTGTAACATACTTTTGCAAAAATTCTGAAAAATTCCGAAAAATTTAATATATAATAACAATCTAATCCAACGTATTAATCGATATATTAAAAAATAACTAACAAATTCCTCACTTTTCGTTTTTCTTTTTTCGCAGATTCAGATGGTAGAAACGAATCACCGTATAACCATATATATGGAAGGTTTCCTGTACCGACCAGAGGTGTAATTCCTCCTACACCCAGAGCGATGTATATCGGAGAGTGGGACTAAAAATAAAGAAAATTAACAAAAAGCAAGTTAGCATATAAACGAGTGAACTACAAGTTTCAAACGAGGACGAAACAATATCACCAAATGCAGGTATAATAGAACGTAAAAGACAGTTGAAAGAACCTTATGCATAAAAATGTATGCATTCGTTAAAAACGGAATAAAATAAAGACTACGCGCAACACATACAAATATAAGTAAATAATTAGCAACAGAAAGGACTAAAACGAGAGTGGAGTAGTTATAAAAAAGGAAGAACTAATCTTCCGTTTGTACCTATAAACTGTATATTGTTAATGTACTACTTGAAATACTCAAATTTTTATTGCAATAAAATTGTAGAACAATGCCAACTTTTATTTATACACCTTTGAGGAAGTATAAAGTTCTCTGATTAAAAGTGGTAAAAAACATTTTAATATAAAAAGAGAATATAAAGATATATAAAATTAATACAAAATTTTTGTCCAATCTAATACAATTTGTAGGATATGATAGGAGTTGTATACAACATGTAGAAGCAATTTCTTACGAAGGTGAAAAAAGATTCTTCATTTTATCAAATAATTAAAAAATCCAATCCTCGTGTCTTTGACAAAGGTTGTAACAATAATTGCTTTCGTCGGTTAACTTAATCATTTTCTTTTTTCTATTATTCTAAACCCTCGTTTTATTTGTTCGGTAATCCATTTATTATACTGATGATCTTTTCTGCAGGAATTTTTGATTTTAATAAATTTATCGTATGATCGGTAACAGACTCTTCGTTTATTTCCAAAATTTTTATAATTTCATCTGCAGAAGAGATTTTTGACACTTCGATCCAATATCCTACAAGATATTTTAGTAATTCTCCCATTGTTTCTTTTGAATCTTCTTCTTCTTCTTTCATTGCTGCAAAAAATAACCATAGTATATCTATAAATATCTATAGTACAGAATGTCATTCATATATAACGATATAATTCACCTGTGTTGATGCTAACTATAATTTTTAAAACTGTTGCATCTATATCGACTGTCGAGTCTGCCCTTAAAAATCCTTTCCATCGAAAATCGAGGATCATTTCTGCACATCTATGAACGCAAGAAGCTTTGGTCTCATCCAAAGGATAAAGATTCCACGGATCGATAAAACTTGCTAAAATTCTTCGTAGAATCTCTACTGTTCTGTTTAAATTGTCTTCTTGCAAGATCTCTTGATGAATTTGATGTCCTTTTCGAACGATCGAAAACAACTCCAACCAATCTTCAAGATATTTTAAAGTCGAAGGCGAATAAGGTGCTTCGTCTTGAGGAAAAACTTCTTCGAAGGATTCCAACATTCCTACAAGTTTCAAATTTCTCGTTTGCCTTCTATCTCATACAGATGGATTGGATAATTTTTCGTTAAAAATATAATGAAATTTGGCACCTGGCAGAAAACTAGAAGATTCGAATAGCTCATCCAATAATGTTTTCCCAGATGAAAGATCGATCTCTGCCGAAGAACGCAAAAAACTTGTCGTTGCGATCAAAAGTTCCTCTGTAATAATTTATTTCGATCAGTATCAAATTCAAATTTCTATTTGTTTTTAATCTCATTATTACTACTGTTGCAAAGAGTAAGTATTACTGTAGTTACCGTTTGTGGAACTTTTTAAGATAAAAGGAACCACCTCCCTTAAAAACGTTGAATTTCTTAAATTAACTCTCCATTTTGATTCAGGATTGATTTGAATATTCCAAAGCGCGGAACGTAGAAGACGAAGTATTTGTACTAATGTAGCAGCGTCTTCGGAAGAAAGGAGGCGAAGAATCGTTTCAAGAAGCTCCTCTTTCTCTCCCAATATATCAAGCACTGACGGTTCGCAAGTCATATTGCCAATTATCCCCAAAATTATTTCCTATAAAAATAAGAATACTAAGAAGCTTTTACATATAATGTAAAATGCGAAAGGAAATATAGTTTTTTGTTAGTCAAAAATTTACTATTGTGATTTATGGATCTTTAAAAGGAGGTTTAAAAATTTGTACAAAGTAGATTCAAAGTATTTTAATATACGGAAAGGATAAATAGAAAATAAGATTAAGAAATTCTAACTATTCGATTAGCGAGTAATTTTTACGACTTTGCGAGCGATTTATGACTTAAAAAAATTTGGATACATTATAAGCAAATAGCTTCTATTTATTAGCGTTTCGATTCAGTTATTTTAATTAGAAAATCATTAAGAACCATAAAGGATTCGATATATATAAAAGGAGTTTACGGTGTATAGAAATCAAGGGCTGCAAGTTCTTATAGTCTAGAAATCATGGAACTCTGGAAATGTTTTCTAAAATTTTTATTGAATAAATAAAATACAGATCTAAGAGATAAAATAATCTTGAAATAAATCGTACCGTAAATCTTGGTTCTTCGGATGAAATCAAAGCAAATTCTGCAATTTTAAGAAAATCATTATCTACAAGAAAGTTAACAATGTCTTTCTCTGCAGTCATATCCCATAATGTGCATAAGTCGTACTCCACTTTCTCGTTCCAGCCATCTTCGAAAACCTTTGCAATATTCAATTTATTTAAATTACTTTGAATATGCTCGTATAACAAATGTTAATATATAAGTATGTCTAAGTAGATACGTGTATGTTGTATAGATTAAACGCATAAATAATTTTTATCAAAGTGCTTCGATTATATGTAACTTTGAAAGAGCTAAGACTGTTTGGTAAAACGAATGAATTTACAAAGTTTATTATAATTATTAAGACATAATATAGCTTATTTATATCGTCAAAATAAACATCTTTAATACAACAGAGATTTAAGTAACACCTTTCTTAAAACATGACTTATTGAAATTTAACAATGAAACATAGGAAATTAATACGAGCTTGAATCAAATGTAACTCAACTTAAGACTATGATACGTACCTTTGATATTGAAAGTAAAATATTGATTATCCATTTGCTGCTATAAAGAGTATCTCCTACAGTATCTCCTTTCAACTTTTCAATTTCGTCTTCTCCGATTTCTTGAGTTTCTAACAGTACGTTTGGTTCGACTTTGTCAATTTCAGGTTCCTGAACCTCGCTCATTCTTCCTACTCGCTAAACCACTATTCTTTCTACAGTATTTTTTACGAATTATTATTGATTTTACAGATAGTTACATTAAGTTGATAATAATTTGAGCAAAGATATACTTAGAGAAATAATAATTTATCACAAATTATTCACTTTCTGGTACGAACTTGGCACAGCTGATCGATGTAAATGGAGATAACCTAACCTTTTTCGACACTTGCTGTTGCTTTAGCTTATTTAGTTAAACGAATTTTACTAATGTTTAGCCCTGCGATATTTTTCGTGTTATTCACATCGCAGCCACCAGCGTAAATTCTAAATTGCGAATTCAAAATCATATCGATAACTCAAGAACGAATTCGATATCTACCAGTCACTGAAAACATAATATTCCAAGTGAAATATCGTACGAACCTTAAGGAAACCACAACATTAGTGCGGATTTCTATTGAAATCTTGCATGAATTTAGCTGCGAATTATAAAAAAAGAATACGTATATGCCTCGTTTTTTTTTTTTTTATCTTATTGTATCGCAAATTAAGATTAAAAGAATTAAAAATAAAAAATTGCAAATTATATATCCATCTATAATGTATTATATCTGTCCTTTTTCCACGGGAAGATGAATTAAAATATTTAAAAGCTTGATATATAATATTTATTTTCTTAATTCTAATTCACATTCTACAAATTACAAAAGAAGTACGAACTTAATTATAGCTGTAAAAGAAAAGACGAGAAGAAACATAAATAATATATTTCATCTCCGTTTCCAGTTCTACTTTCTTATCTCCTCGCGTATCAACGTAGCTAGCGTTGAAAGCGCCTGAAAAGAAAAGAACGACGTAATATAATTTTCACATAAGAATATGTGAAATATATAAACGATCTCGAATATATAAACAAATTAGTAGAATAGTAGATATACCAGACGTTAGAAGAAGATCGATGCGATACTATAAATTATTAGGTGAATTAAATACAAAACGGAATCAAAGAAAACAAGAACCTTATCGATTTCTTGCGGTGTCGCGTAACTGTAGCATAGTCTGAGATGCTGTTCAGGTCTCGAGCGGTCGTGGTTAAACGCATGACCGGGAATAAGAAAAATCCCTTGGGAAATACACTTCATCCTTGCCAATTCCATTACATCTTTCGTTTTATTCACTTTTAGCCAAACGAACATCCCACCCTTTGGAACGTTCCATTCTGCCAATCCTAAAATACAAAAGATGCTTTTGTTTCGAGATAAAGAAAAAAATACCAAGTTCAAAATTTTCGATTTTTAAAAAACGAAACCTTGCTGTAATTTGATATTATTATATACCGGTAAGATGTTTTTCCATCAAAGACAGCATAATGTCTCGTCTTTCGCGATAAAATTTCTGAATGTCGTTAAAATGTTGCCGTATCTTCTCCAGATCCCATACGTTTAGTAATTTGAACAGCAAAACCTGTAAAAATAATAATCATCGACGAAGGAAAATACTTTGATTTTCGTATGAAATATTCGTAATGTACGTAAGATTGTAAAAATTACTTGCGATAAAGAGCAAGCGTGAATATTTGTTGCTTCCATATGTGTAGTTAATTTTTTAATGAATTCTTTATGCGCTGTAACAACGCCTAATCTAAGACCGGCGCTTAGAATTTTGCTGAAAGAATCCAAACGTATTACACGTCCTTTGGTATCCAATTCGAGGAAGGTGGTAGGTTTCTTATCGACGAAATGGATAAAACAATAGGGATCGTCCTCGATGATTAAAAAGTTGTATGTATCGGCCAATTCGTAAACTTCCCTTCTTCGCGATTCCGTCAAAACTGTTCCCGTTGGATTGGCTCCTGTAGGATTCGCGTAAAGGACCTACGAAACAAGTTCATCCTTCTTTATATCCGAATATGGTAATACGTAGTAATATACGATCGATTACGTCAAATTATCTCTTGATTTTCAATTTTCTCTGCAACTCACTTTTGGCATCGGTTTACCACTGTCTCGTCTTTCTTCGCAAATTTTTCTTATATTTACCGGAATTATACCATCCTGATCTTGTGAAATTTCGATGAATTCTGGCATTAAAGGTGTGAGCTGAAGAAAAGACGAATAACGTTGAAGAGTTTAATAAAATAAAATCTATTAAAACAGCTTGAGAATATCTTAGTTAGAGGGAGATCGAAATCATAAAAAAAAAAAAAAAAAAAAAAAAAAAAAAAAAAAATAAAAAAATAATAAACGAATGCGTAGATTTACCGCATTTAGAATTCCGTCGTAAGTCGGTGTTTGAACCATCACAGGATCGCCTGTTTCTAAAGTCATCTCGAAAATTTTGCTACACCCGTCCATCGATCCAGACGTGAAAAGTACGTCCCAGTCTTTGTATATCGGCTTGTGCCAATATTCTTGAAATTCTCGCATTTTTTTTAACAATGGCAAGTATCTTAAATGGAAAAATAAAAGAATGAAAAATGATGGAAGAAGTATACGATACTATTTATATATATAACATTATCGCATACTATACAGCATACATGAGCACTAGATGCACAACGATTAGTAAGCGAGAGAGAATAAGAGTGCAACGACATCGTTGTAATAGGTTATGGGCCTAAAGTACGAACGAAAGATTATTCTTATTGTACAGATTGTATTATCGTGTCTGCGAAATCATGGTACGGATAGTCGGATGACGACTGTGGGTGCAAAACCAAGTGGGGGGAAAAAAAGGAGAACATTTTTTCGTTTTCGAGAAAATCGAGTGTGAAAATGCATCGAGTAGCCGTTGATAGAGTAAAGTATATTTTATCGTTGTTTCTTATTTTCTAAATTACCCTTGAGAAGGACCGTATTGAAGAGACCAGGACAACTCTTCTCCGACGAGTTTTACTTTTGTTCCACCCTTGTACGTTACGGAGATATCCACGAAAGGAAATGTCTTTGCATTCGGCATTCCATTAGCTAGACTTATCGCATCTTTCGCTTCTATAAATCTCATCGCTGTGTCATGCAAAGATGTTATTTACATATGAATTATCTTTATAAATTATCGTTTCCAAGAGATACAGGATAGACAGAGTTTTACGAATTGTCTAATAAAATATCAGATATCGCAGACAATGTTATTATAACAGCGATGATAAAAACGATATTAATAACGAATAAGATAGGAAAAAATTAAGAGTTCTTACCTAATTCACGAAGGATACTAGAATTTCGCCTTTTCGAGACATTCGTTAGAAACGTCGAAAAATCCATTATGAATTACGAACCACTGGTTAATTTTTAATATTTGACCTTTGTTTCGGTTAATTTTTGTCAAAACGATAGGCGTCCAAGCGAGTCGAATAACTCCGGCTTTACCCAATTCGATCGAGTCAGATAAATTCGGTAAATCGACAATTTCTAAATATTTTAAATTTATTATGTAATACGGGATCGATCGATACCGAGCGAGCGTGTCGAAAGTGATCGAGAGACTGGACTTCGGCACAACTATGGTTTTAACGAAACTCAGCCTGTTATTCATGCGGTGGGTTATCATCAGCAGCTTACATCGTTGATACGTTGCAATCGAAACGTTGCAAATCGGACCATTGTAATCGATGAAAATTTCCCTCAACCAGATATAAATCGATTATGGAATGGAAAAATATTTCGCAAGAAAATAAATAAATTAATTATAGAAATGAAAAGATAAATGTATGGCGTAATTAAGTTTGTTCTTGCACTAATCGTAAACAGCGATGTCGTGATGCGTTGGTAAATAGGAAGATAAGATGCGCGTAAAAAGAACAAAAATCATGGAGGATATCACTTCAACGTCTTATGTTCAACATGTATATTTTATTTCGTATCTGAAAAAATAGAGACACGGTAAAGAAAATGAGTATTCTACTATTATTCATCCATTGCAAAAAGGTTGTCGAGTAAGGATCGGAGAGATTATTGTTATAAACAGCGTAAGTCGAGTACATTCTCATTGTAAAATGTTGCTTGTAAGTTTGCAGGGATTCGGATGTAGAAAGAATTACTTTCATCGTTATCATCGTTACTCGGTCGTATCTCGATAACCATGCTGAAAAATCGAAATATTCAACGAAGAAGATTTACATCGAGTGAAAATCATAAAGGCATGGTTTTCGACGTAATCGTACGATTCTCGTACTTTTCTTACGGTATTCTTTCTTTCTTTCTTTATTCGCCACGTCGTACATCAGCGAGTAACGAAGAAAATTCACAAAAAGAGAAATAAATTCGACGAAATATCTTAATCGAATATTCGAATACATCGATATCTTTCGCGGAGACTGCCTGATCATTTCGATAATGGGAAAGAAAAATTTGTAAATTTAACGGGAAGGCATGACGACGAAAGAAAGTGATAGTAGGAAACGGTGAAAGTTTTATTGTTCGTACACATCAGGAAGGATCTTTCTTTAAAACGTTACGAAAGACGATAGAACTTTTTTTTCCCTCTCGTGATCATGATTTTCATCATAATCATAATCACCCTCTTTCCTCTTTCCTCTTTCCTCTTTCCTCTTTCCTCTTTCCTCTTTCCTCGCGTTATCGTCCCTTATAGTTCTCGTTGACATTCGACACCTCCCCTTCCCTCGTTTTCTCTTCTAGTTTTTACAATTTCTCTATTGCTTTTATCTCTTATTTACTCTTTCGTCGCGTAATCGTGGAACGCTATCGTTATGATTGTTTTCTGCTTTTTTTTTCTCTTTTCTTCTTTTTTCTCCTCTTCTTGGCTTCTTACCTTAATTACAGCATTCTTTCCTCGTTATAATCAGACTGACAAGGATAATCACAATTACGATTACGATTGTCATCACTATAACTATTTATCGAATCAAATCGTTAATTATTAATTACGTTACCCCTTTTGATTCATCGAGATTATCGTCTGCGCGACAGTACTATCTAAATGATAATGGAAGAAGACCCGGCGGAAAGGCACCAACACAAGTTTCGCGTTGTAACGTAATTACGTAAACATGTAGTCGGGTTCGCGTTTATATCGTTCCTTTATCGTCTAAAATTCTAAAATTCTAAAATTCTAAAATTCTCGATAAAACTTACGAATAAGAACAACAACATCGATCGTTAGTATCAAACTGCTAATACATAATACAGTATAAAACGATAAAGTAACGCCAACAAATAATTAATAAATAAACAAACGGTCGAACAATACTCGACACGACAAAATCAAGCGGCTTGACGAACAACGATAAAATAACGATTCTTGAAAAAAAAAAAAAAGGAAGAAGAAGAAAAAGAAAAAAGAAAGAAGAAAGCGAAACATAAAATGTCGTATTTGCATGTAAAGGCAAAGATAAAAGATTATAAACGCGTCCCGATCGATGGAAAAATTTACAACATTGTTAATACTTGGCTCTCTGGTTTTTCTAGTTTTCTAGACACGATCGCGTGCATTCCGTGCATTCCATGCATTCATACCGCGCTCATACTCGTCACAAGTCACAGACGCACATACATACACGAAGGATTTCTGCTTCTGAATTGGCAGTCATCAAAGCGTCGTTAATTAATCGATTAAGCACGATCAAGTATGAGAAAAGAAGGCATTAACAAACGAACGAAAGTTGGAAAGAAGTTTCGAAAGTGCCCGGGCACTTTTAATTTCGATCGAAACGAACGGGGCTGGTTTGGCGGCACGATTTTTCGCATTTGATTAGCACAAAATAACGAAACCACAACGAGAGTAACGTAATTATTCGATTTAAAGGAAAAGATATATCGATCGTCGTTTTCCCCTTCAACCTTTCGATTAATCTAACTCTTATACTTTTATTTTTAATCGTACATATCTATAGACAAGTATTAAAAAATAAAACAAAAAATGATCGACGAGAAGTACTTTTCACGTTTTTTTCCACGCACAACTATTTAGTCAACAACGTCCTTTTAAAAGTTTTGATTTTTTCTCTCTAACGCGATACAAACACGATTCTTCGCTCTCCTTCTTTTTCTTTTCTCTTTATTTCTTTTTCTCGAATACGAAGAGAACGAATTCCAGTTTTTTTCCTTCGTTTTCTTCGTTTCCTTCGTTTGTTATTTACAATATATATCTATAGTACGCTACGCATTCCCCTCTTTTTACAACAGTTCGTTTAACGATTAATTAGTCTGTTAGTATTTGCTTCTGTTTCTTTATTCGTACGTTAAGCTTAAACCTTACTATACAAGTGCCTCTTGGTATTCTTCTTTATCTTTTATTTCGTTAACTCTGTTCCTCGCTTTTTCTCTTTCTTTCATAAAACCTGGATCTTTGTTCGTTTTTGTCTCAAACAAAAACTACGTGCTTCGATAAAGTTTCGATATTTATATTTTTTCCTATTATTTTCTACACCTAATTACATTTTCTCAGACTCGTCCGTGTTCCTCTTTCTCCGTAACTGTTTATAATTCTCGTACTCTTCTTCCTCGATCTATTACCATCTTCCTGCTTTTTACAGCCTAACGTTTTTTTCTCCCAAGTAATTTTTTTCCCCTCGAACATGGTCCGTTCGTGTTCTTGCTTTTCCTACTTCTATACGTCCATTCCCTTCGAGTCTTAGATTCTTCCTAGATATTTCGTCGTACAACGATACGCCGTTTTCTCTATCTGTTTAAATAACCCCTTTTCTAGTTCCATTCGACCGATTCCAACGAAGAATTCCAACTCGAACGAAGTCACTCGATCGGAAGTCACCGTCCGTTCTTCGTTTTCTTCATCCTCTATTTCCCACCGAAGGGATACCTTTGTGCGATTACTGACCGTTTGCGAAAACGTTCTGGCGAATCTTTAGAGAACTAAAAGAGAGTTTCTTGCGACCAGGCCGGTGGACTGGTTGGTAACGGCGCCGGCGGTGGTCTATGCCTGAGCTCGATGGCTGGAGAACACGGCGGAGAACCGGGGCTACTTTGGCTGCTGGTGCTCGTAGAGACGGCCTGAGACCTGTTGATATATTCGTAACGACAGCTTTTCCCAAAGTCATTCCATGTAAATAAGTTCGAAGTAAACGCGAAAATCGGAAGCCGATCAGAAAAGAGCGATGGAAAATGGATAAATAATTTCAGATTTGCGAAAGACGACGATACAAAAGGTATAATCTCGTATTTACAAATAACGATATAGAAGCGGGTAGTAGAAAGGACGAAACAACGACAAAAGTTTTGAAGAATAAGAACGTGAACGGGCTGTTTCTCAAGCAGTTTGTCGTTTTATCGTGGAAAAATTGATTTTCGACGTTAACGCGCGCGGAATTTCCTCGATTCCGCGTAACCATGCGATCAAATAGATAGAGAACTGACCCAATTAAACCGTAACCGTAACCGTAACCGTAACCGTAACCGTAATCGTAACCGTAATCGTAACAGTAACCGGTTCGAACACCGTATACCGCTATATAGAAGGCATATTCGTCTTGGTATATAGCATTAAAATTTGTTAATTTTAGTTTGGTTCGATTAAGAGGGCAGTGGTAAAGACGCAGAGTCACCGACGCTTAGAAGCAACGAAGGAACAATCGTTCGACTAGGTATACCTAGAAGTTTCAACGGCTGCGCTAATACTACGACAAGCTTGACAAGGTTTGCCTTCAGGCCGCCGTCTAGGGACACATCCGGAGCAACCATCCCATTTCTCGACCGTTTTCTTCTTTTTCGAGGGTACCCGAAGAAACCGTCGACAACTTGGCCCGGGTGCTTCGGAGTCGGTCGAGAACCCAGATACTTCATCCTCCGTGTCGAGACACTCTTCTTGCTCGTCGTCTCTTAGGAAGACCGAGTCGGAACCGAGCGACCTCGAATTATTCAAGCTACGAACGTACAAATGAAACAAGCGTTAAGATTCGGATCGATTACAAAGGGAATGGAGAGGATGAAATCGTCGAGGAAGAGAAAAGACGCACGCGTATACGGCGACTAACAAAGTGACACACCGATTAAACGGATCCAAGTGTCGTTAAATTTACGTACGACTAGAAAAATTCGATACTACGAGAGTATAATAGTAGTAATGGTAGTAATGGTAGTAAGTAAAGTAGAAGATGATGAAAAATCGTTTCGTATCGAAAGAACGATGTATCGTTCGTACAGCGAACAAAATGCGAGAATACGTTGTTACGTACGCGTGCGTTACGTACAAGGAATCGCGCGTGTAAAAATATTTTCGTAAACAAAAAGCCGGAAAAAGCGTGGCAAAATATTATTCGTTCGTCCGACGCGTTACAACGATATTTTCGAAATTATTTATACAAGTTTCTACGTTAACAACCTTGAGTCTGGTTCCGGAGGATCGACACTGCCCATGGAAGCCAACGGTGCTCTTTTGCCGCTAGTCGCCGTGATCATCGCCTCGTTCGCGTAAAGACCTGCTTCGCTCGTGCACGGGGAAAGCTCCGGGGTCGGTTGAATTACCTACGAACAAACAACCAAACGACTTACGACAACGAACCACGTACTTGCTCGTTTCTTTCGAATTACGATAACGTGTTATCGTATCGAGATTTTATCTCGTATATTAAGAGATCGTATCGTATATCCATGTACTTTACGTTAGAATCGAAGAAGACAGCGTAAAAGATCGATTCGAATTTTCGTAAACGACGTAAACGATTTCACGCTGCGAATCAAAGTGGAAATAATGTTGCGTCAGCGGACGAAACGTTAAGATTCGTTTGTTACTGGAGGCTAGCGATTACCTGAATGTCGATGGGATAATAGAGATCCCAGGGTTCGTCGTGGGCAGCGTATTTCGTGGAAAGCGTAGGGTGAAGCGGCAAACATGGTACCGGCATCGCGGACCCCCTTCTCTCGAGGTAACTACTCCCGGTGCTGCTACACGTCACCGAACTGCATCTTCTTTGTTCCTCGGGAAGCGGCAAATTCGGCTGCTTCGTTGGTGGTGTCAACAGAGCCTCGTAGCCACCGCCAACCGACGCAAAACGCGGCCCGATTTTTGGCAAATGAGATTGCGACACCTTTAACCGTAATAACCGTCGTCATCGTATTATCGTCGTTATTTCTTTCGCGATATATTCTACCATATATATATTCGAAATCTTCTATCTGCAGAATAAATCGCCGATTATCCCGTGACTTGAGAAATTTTGTATCTTAAAAATCGGACATACGTAATCGAGCGTTTTTACTCGAATATCGAAGTACATTCTCGCGATCAGAAGCAAAGTGTGACAGACTCGCTGGCATAAAAAACCATCTATCTTCTGACTTATCGTGGAATGCAAAAAATATTCCATTCGATATGATTAAAAAGTATAATTACACCTATAATTCAGCGTAATCTCGGATTATACGGAATTACGACGAGCTTATAATCGCCGGATTACGCTACGATCGTTACGATTACAAATATCGATAAAGATCGGTTTAATTCGACGAACGGGTAGACCGACCTCGACACAAAGAGATCTTCTAGGGCCGTGATCCGGTCTAGGTGGTAATCTGGAAATGGCTTCGAGAGCGGCTGCGAGGGCTCTTTCTTCGGCTTCTGCTTCGGCTACCGCTGCGGCTGCAGCTGCGGTCAGTCTTGGATCCTCCAACTGCTTGCTCGATTTACACCTATCCCACATACCCTCCTTTTACCCTTCTTCTCTCATTTACACCCTTTCTGTCTATATAAACACACAACTTTGCTCGCGTACTTTCATCCTCTACCTCGAGAAGCAAAAATCGTATTCGATCCCGAACGTTTGATCCCCATCGGAACACGGCGTTTCTTTTCTTCGAAAATGCTAGAAATATTTTTAGAAACGTTCGATCAAAAAATCCGACGTTAAAACGCGTTAAAACGCGTTGAAACGAGTCGAAAGCGCGACCAACTGACTTGCCTGAAAATCGGGTTGAACGTTTTCGAAAATTTTGCGACTTATTCTCTGTATATACGATATATTGGAAAGCGCAATTCCGATCGAGCTTCGTAGATATTTAAACATCCGTAAAAAGCTGATAAAATTGATTCGCAAATTTATACGATATTCCGTGCCGAAACTCGAACAACTTGCCCCGAGTGAGTTCGAACTGTAAAATTAGTCTTGGTATATAAAATAACGCGGTAAAAAAAGGGAAGATGGGTAACAGCGGAGAGAAAAAGAACTCACCTGCTTTTATAAACAAGCAGAAGGATCATAAGACCGAAAAAACCACCGAGAGTCGCTGCGATTCTGACCCCGGTCATAACGTCGTAAGTTTTGTAAAATTCGATTTTCAGTTGCTCCCGCTCGCTGAGGGTCGACGTCGCTTCCGGCAGGAACGTCGTCGAGTCCATCCTCCTCGTCGTCGCGTTGCTCGCGTTCACGTTGCTGCCTACGACACTCCCCATATCTGCACACACACATACACACGTACGACTCTCGATTCTTATTAAATATTTTCTTTGCTCGTCGAGGCCTCCGTGACGCGATTCTTCGATCTCGTACGTTCGATTTGCGCGTTTATACGTAGAATAGCCTACGAATTTAAGAGCGCGATCGATCAACCATACGCCCGACAGGAATCCCACGATTCAAAGTTGAACGTTCTCCAAGAATTTTCTTCGCAACAGACATTAGCCGACTTTTTCCTCTGCGTTACTTTTATATTTAACCAAACAGATGTACACCGTGTGGAATCAATACCTTGTTTTATCGCGGCGTAGAAAGCTTTCGCAAATTGACCTGAAACGATTAATTGGCTTTTTTAATTTACATAGATTTTCGGTGCTCGAAGACTGAATTTCTACGACGTCGTCGTCTTATTCAAAAATGTACCTTCTTTCTGTCTTGAGAACGCCGAATTACGAATTATCAAATTCCTATCGAATCCTATCGTACGGGGAATAATTTGGCAAAAGGTTTATCTTTAAACGAAAACGATTAAATCGTAAAAGACTCGGTCGTAAACGTACGAACGGAGAGAAAAATTACACAAGCATAGCGAAATTATCTACGTTACGAACGGAATCCTTTCGACGATTACGTCGTTTGTCACGAAAATACGTAAGACTAAGACGCGTCTTGCCATAAAGTCGGATTCGTGCGGCGAAAAGGAAAAGTACCGGCGACCCTTTGACACAGTTCTGACCGCGTACGAATGGTCGCGCGAACATAGTTATACGAGATGTATGGACACGCTGCTCGCTTGAAAATAAATCCCGGTAAAAAGAGCGGATCGACTGTAAGTTTCAGAACGTTTCTCGCTACGTTTTTGCCCAACGAAAGTCGCATCGTTCTGCGGAATATTTTTAGAAATATCTGCCGTATATTGTTCGAATCGAGTTGCACGCGTCCGGTAGAAAACTGCAACTGCGATAGGACGCGATCGACTTCGATCATCGACCGATATTTCGAAAAGTTATTTTTCACTGTCAAATTATCGGCGATCTATGCTTTTGACTGGAACTAACGGGTTTTTTCCGCTTTCAGCTACTTTCTATCAAAGTACTTTTTTTAGGCATCGAAGCGACGTCGAAACGATAAATTCAACAAAAACGCGCTTCCGTCTTTTTCCTTTGATCTTCGTCTATATCGCGAATCGTATTCGCTGTTAAATGTACGGCAGATGCGACGCTAAAGATACGACGAGTCAACAACAGCCGACTGGAAAATAATTTTTCGTTATTAATCAAATATCTACGATACGTACGTAGGAGACAGTTTTTTTTTCGTAAAAGACATTTTTTACAGGAGAGAATTAATCGTTATAAAACGGTGACGAACCATCGAGTTCGACGGCATTTCTCGTAACAACGACGGAAAATAAATTTTCTATCTACCGGACGTGGCTGGTTGTCGATTCGAAGCAAAAGCATCGTGACCATGTGGTACTGGTTGGAAAAAGTCGCGGCTATCGAATTCCAGTGATAATCGATAACGCGGAACTTTCGAGGGGTGTCGTATAGAGTGGCACTCGATCGAGAGCCTCGCTACCTCGAGAACAGAGAACAAAGAACGGAGAACGCTTTAGAGCGAGAAAGGCTGGCGAAACGACGATAGAAAACGGAGAACGCGACATCTTTTTCAGCAAGTTTTGTATCCTACGAAAGTTTTCGGCCGTGAAATCGCGTTACTCGCTTTACGATCGATTCCCTTCGTTACGAATAACGTTAAGAACGTTTAAAAATGGCGACGTTCGCGGTTTCTTGCATCGTTTCTAAACGCAACGACGATACCAACTCTTCTGTCGCTTTATCGTTTGAATAGGATGCGGCGTATGGAAAGCGCGTGTTGGAAATACGAATAGAAAATTTCGCTGTAGAGCATCGCTGTAAAAACGGCGAGTGGTCCGACTCGGCTCGGCCGTACAGCAGCGTTCTACTCGAACCACACGCCAAGGTTCTGGATATTGATTTCAAGCTGAGAGAATCGATGGAGCCTGTCTTACGGCGTCTCGATAAGTCCTGTCACTGATAACGTTTCGCCGTTCCACGCAGAGACCTATAGGCGAGAGGCCGATTTCCAAAACGACTCTACAGACACGCACAGACATCGGTGTACGAAACACGCACAGGCTAGGCTATATAAACGTGCGAAAACAAAGATGAAACATCTGGTAAAGATTTAATCCAGAAATAACTCGATAACGTGGAATCGTTCAAGAACAATTTGTTATTTATTCCCATCCATAATTCATCGCGTTCTTTCAGCTATTATTACGATCGTCCGATACGAGAATGTTTGTTTTGATAAAAAATTGTACGCCAACCCACGTTCTCCGATCGGTCGTTACAGGACCGAATAATTACTCGCGCAAGGGGAGAAAAGAAGCAGCAAACCGAAACCGGAAAGAAGCGAAAGAGAAAAGAATCCGACCAAGTTTGCGGTTTGCGGATAGGAAAAATACGGCCGGTCGAAACGGAGAAAAGAAACGAAACGAAACGAGTAGACGCGTTCTTTGGACGTTGAAGAGAAACGGAATCGGCGGTGAACTCGGCCGAAATTTCGACGTTTCGCTCAGGAAGCATCGAATAAGCGGGTTAATAGGTCGATTTAAGCGAACGGGGACGACAACCTGTGGCTGGTGTGCGGTAACCCTCGAGGATCTTACCTTACGAAATCCTCCGACAGCTTTAAAGCTATTTACCGTTCGCATCGATAACAACCGAGTCTCCTCGAAACGATCGTCGTACGTATTCTACCACGATAGAAGAAAGAATCGAGTCCAGATCGTCCAAATTAAGCTCGTTCGTAATAGCGATTCGCTATTCGATTCTCGCGCTTCGAAGAAAAGATAGAAAATTGATCGAGTTAGGCTTCGTTTCGAAATTAATAAGTCGCTTAACGTTATTACTTCGACGTAATTACTTTCGTCTCTTTACGGAAAGTTTTACTGAAAAATTAACGAAAACACCCGTCGAAACGAAATCTTCAAATCGCTACCTTCTTACAAGGAAACTCGTTTCTTGTCGTGAAAAATGAATCGCGAGCAGCTAAAGAGGGAAACTAGACTGCAACTTGGGCAGCGACGAAGAATTCGTTCAGTCCCTTTTCATCGTGTTCTTCCTTTCCTTCGAAGAGAAACTCCGACTCGAACTCGAACTCGTCTCGTTAAACGTACAACACGGTATCTTTCATCGCGAGATCGATGCCTGTTATTCTCACCCGAACTTTTGTCGTTACGCAACGCAAAGGGCCTGGAAAATTATACGACTGCGCGTAAAGCGCAAGTACTCGCACGTTCGTTGGCTCGACGACTTAACGAGAGTGCCTGCGTTACTTGCACTTGCACTTGCATTAACACGCATTACGACGCTGCTACGTCGCTTACTTTCTTTCCGACATTACGCGATTTAAACATAAACTAACGGGAAATTCGCGGGACATTTCGTCCGATTGGAATAAATTAAAAGTTCCGTGCTTTCGATCGTCCGATAATTTCGACAAAATTCCGGAAAGAAAAGAGAAGAATCGAGCAAAAAAAAGTTAAAAGGCTTATTTCCGAGAATTTAAAAGTAATTTGCTATTTTTCGCGTTAGCGTGTCAGTACGTCAAGACGAATTCAATCGACGCGGAATGTAACGTTTATCGAGCACGCGTTATTTCCGTGCACGTTTCGACTGCACGTCGCTTTTTCAAGCACGGTATTTTACCGTTTGGCGGAAAATAGCGCAAATCGTAGTTATCGAATTGGCTGGATTTCACGCGGTATAAATACTCTTATCTTAATCGCCGTCACATTGTACGTCCAACGACCGAACAACCTACTCTGTAGTTACGTTGAAAAGTAGCGTAGAAGAAAAATCGTCAAACGTCATTGCGTTTCTGTAAAAAAAAAAAAAAGCATCTCTTTACTTCGAATATTTGTCGTCGCTCTATGCCGTTCGTTCGACTCGGATAAATTTGTATCCGCGATTCTTACCCTATCGATATTCCGGAGCGAACGATCGTCGCACCTCGGTAAAATACGCACGGTAAAATATTACCAAGGCTGCTGCTAGTATCCCGTTGCTGATCGGTGGAAACGAACGAACGCAACGTGCCGCGTAATCGAAACGGACTGCGATCATCGGAATCGAGTGTCCGGTCGGACGGAGCTTTATCCTCTGACAAACAAGCAAGCGTCCGAGATGGATAAATCCATCCTTTCGATCGATGAATCTCATCGCCGAGACCGAGATCGAGACCGAGACAGCGTCCACCCCGTAAGTCGAACCTACGGTATTCCATGTTATAATATTTCTCCGCGAACGTAGTACGTGGTAGTAGAGGCGGGTGGGTAGCTTCTTCGGAACAACCATCGACGCATCCCATTTTCCAACCGCGGACGTACGTACGAACGAAATTCGCGTCTATCCAGCGGAAACGACCAAATTGATGATAACCGACGCAACACGTACACGTCCAACGACTCTGGCAAACTCGATTTATGAAATCGAGCCGCATCGGTGGTACACGATCGTTCCAAACGTAATAGATACACTCGTGATCGAATTACGGTCGATAGGACGAACGAATATAGTTACCGTCTTAATTATAAAATCAACGGTATACGTACTTGCGTCTCGACCGTCGAAACAAAATATTCGACCGATTTACGAGAAACAGAAGGGGTTTAGATCCCGTTCAAGAGCGTACGAGCAAAAAACCGTACCTCGCATCGTTGCGACGTCGGTACAATTCTAAAATTATTTGTTACGACTAGCTCGAACGTAACGTTTTACGCGCGCGTAATTCACATATTGATTCAATCGATCGTTTACGAAACTCTCGTTGATATATTAAAAAGAAAAAAAAAAGAAAGAAAAGAAAAAAGGAAATTGAGTAGATTCGAAAGGTATAAGATTCTACTTAGATAACATCTTTGCGTAGATATCGACGTTGATGTCGACGAGCGATCGAGACCGGGCGACATCGCGACGAACGTAAAAAGATAAATCCTGTACCCGAATCTACGAAGGTATCGTTCTTCCTTCTCCGCTACTACCGAGAGAATCGGCAACGAATGGCAAAAACCATTTATTCTTCGTTCTATCGATGTTTCACCCTTCGCATCGATTCGGTATACGGTACGTACGGCCCTGAGCCCTGTAACGTCGATCGTTAGCATCGTTTCCGATAAGAATCGGTATGACCGCTATGACCGGTGTTTCTATACAGCGATGTACGTAACGATACCGTGGCGTTCCTCGACCGGTAGCAAAGACCGAGCAATTCGTAAAGCAATCGAGAAAGAAATCGTG